CTATCTATCTATCTATCTATCTATCATCTACGTATCTATCTATCTATCTATCTATCTATCTATCTATCATCTACGTATCTATCTATCTATCATCTATCTATCTATCTATCTATCTATCTATCTATCTATCTATCTATCTATCTATCTATCTATCTATCTATCTATCTATCTATCTATCTCTATCTATCCTCTATCTCTATCATCTATATTCTATCTCTATAATCTATATCTATCTCTTCTATCTATCATTTCTCTATCTCTCTATATCTCCATCCATCCATCCATCCATCCATCCATCCATCCATCCATCTATCTGAGATGTGACATTGTGATGGGCACAAGAGTGAACCAGGACCATTCACAATACTTGATGAAGGATAGAAAGCAGACTAGCAGGGTGCCCAGCTAGATATCCCAGAAGCACCCGGTCTCTAAGGCGAGAATATTTTCTGGCTGTTTTTCTTTGAAAGTTCAACCAAGGGCACCAAGCGTGTTTTCCACCCAGGCGGTCCCCCACCTTTCCATCTTGCGCGCGCTTGCCCATTTCTCCCGCGGCCCGGTTTCCAACAGGCCGTGGCCGGAGGGGAGGGGAGTTGGGGACCCCGGTTCTACCCCCACCCCCCTGAGATGCTCATTCCAGAGTTACTGGGGGGACGCTCAGCAAGCGAGGGAGGGCCCCAGTTTCTCCGGAGATACTAGTGGGATACTCCGCGGACAGACCCGAAGCAGAGATACACAAAGAGCAGGATCAAGGAGACAACCACACACACACAGTGGCTTTGCACAGCACAACCGCACTTTAATGGATTCAGAAGGGGCAGGGTGATACAGAAGGTTCCACGCACGGAGGCCAGGGGTGTGTGTGTGTGGGAGGGGGAGAATTACGTGGACTGTCCTCGTCGCGCCCGCCTCCCCGCCCGCCTCTTACCCTTGTGCAGGACGGCGTTGGCGGGCTTGTTGCCGGCCAGGGACTCCTTGGACAAGTGCTGGTGGCTCTCGGCCAGACACTCCACCTCGGCAAAGCGGGTGTTGAGGGCCATGGCGGGGTGGCTGGGGTCCTGGGTCATGTTCAGGTAGGCCGCCCGGCGGAGCTGCTCCTCGATCACCAGGGCCTGCTCCAGCAGCTGGCAGAAACAAGGCAGGGGAGACGGTCAGAAGGCAGCGGGCACCCCGGAGAAGGCCAAGGGGGTCTTTCCCCTCGACTTACGGCGGTTCGTCTAGGGAAGGGGTAGGCAACCTCGGCTCTTTTATGACTCCTGGACTTCAACTCACAGAATTCCTGAGCCAGCCATGCCTTTTCCCCCCCTCCCTTCTACCTCCTATAGCAGAAAGATTGCAGAGGAAGGGATTATAAGAGAGTAAGCACATCGATGGGTAGACACATCCTGCTGGCTCAGGAATTCTGGGATTTGAAGTTGAATAGAATAGAATAGAAATAAGGAATAGAATAGAATTATGGGATAGAATAGAATAGAATAGAATAGAAATAAGGAATAGAATAGAAATAATAGAATAGAATAGAAATAAGGAATAGAATAGAATTATGGGATAGAATAGAATAGAATAGAATAGAATAGAATAGAATAGAACAGAACAGAATAGAAATAAGGTATAGAATAGAATAGAAATAAGGAATAGAATAGAAATATTAGAATAGAATAGAAATAAGGAATAGAATAGAATAAAAATTAATAGAAGAATAATAGAAGAATAGAATAATAATAGAATAGAATAAAAATTAATAGAATAGAATAGAATAATAGAATAGAATAATAATAGAAGAATAGAATAAAAATTAATAGAATAGAATAGAATAACAGAATAATAATAGAAGAATAGAATAATAATAGAATAAAAATTAATAGAATAGAATAAGAATAGAAGAAGAATAGAATAGAATAGAATAAGAATTAATAGAATAATAATAGAAGAATAGAATAGAATAAAAATTAATAGAAGAATAGAATAATAATAGAAGAATAGAATAGAATAAAAATAGAATAGAATAGAATAATAATAGAATAGAATAGAATAAAAATTAATAGAATAGAATAGAATAGAATAAGAATAGAATAATAGAATAGAATAGAATAAAAATTAATAGAATAGAATAAGAATAGAATAGAAGTATAATAGAATAGAACAGAATAAAAATTAGAATAGAATAGAAGAATAGAAGAATAATAGAATAGAATAGAATAAAAATTAATAGAAGAATAATAGAAGAATAGAAGAATAGAATAGAATAGAATAGAATAAAAATTAATAGAATAGAATAGAATAAGAACAGAATAGAAGAATAGAATAGAATAAAAATTAATAGAATAGAACAAGAACAGAGCAGAACAGAATAAACTTTATTGTCGCTTTAAATGTAGACTAATCAGCATACATTAAAATGAAATCTCACTGCATTCAGCTCTCAAAGGGCCACCCCCTCCAATATACACCGCATAAAGACAACAAGAGTATGCCTATAACCACATGCGCACACACACACATATTTAACCACAGAGAAACAACACATCCTAGCCAGCGTATCGCCTTAGCCTGCTTTTAAATTCCAAAGCCACCACCGCAGCCCCAGCCCAGCGCCAGCCCGTCTCTCAGCCCGAAGGAGGAGGGGGGCTCCCGCTTTCTCCTCACCCACCTTGAACCTCCTGGCCAGAAACTTGTTCTTCATCTCCAGGAAGTTCCCCTTGTTGGCTTCGCTCTTGAAGGGCTCGTTGATGATGGCGAACTGGTTGTCGTTCTGGATGTCCTGCCAGCGGGCGTAGCCGTGCCTGCAGGGGTGGCCAGGTTAAGGGGCGTCCACAGTTGCGGGCAGGAGTCCCCACGGAGGGCGGCCACGAGGAGAAGAGCGCAGAGAAGGGAACCCTCTTCCTCCTCTTCAATTGACTCCCTCTAGGGCAGAGGTCCCCAACCTTTTGGGCACCAGGGACCACCGGTTCCGTGGAGAGAGGTTTTCCCGCGGACCGGAGGGGGCGAGGTTTTGTGTGCTGCCTGCATCCCGGGGATGGGGCTTGGCTTGTTTGTGCAGACCGGTTGCTGGTGTGCTGCAGCCCGGTACGGGTCCACAGACCAGGGGTTGGGGACCCCTGTCCTAAACCTTAAACCTAACGCCCTAACCCTAACTCCCTAACCCTAACCTGGTTGCTGGTGTGCTGTGGCCCAGTACCGGTCCACAGACCTTAAACCCTAACCCCGTAACCCTAACCCCCTAACCCGGTTGCTGGTGTGCTGCGGCCCGGTACCGGTCCATGGACCAGGTGTTGGGGACCCCTGTCCTAAACCTTAAACCTAACCCCCTAACCCTAACCCCGTAACCCTAACGCGGTTGCTGGTGTGCTGCGGCCCGGTACCAATCCACAGACAAGGGGTTTGGGACCCCTGTCCTAAATCTTAAATCTAACCCTTAACTCTAGCCCTAAACCTAATCCTAACCCTAAATCTTAAACCTAAAACCTAACCCTTAAACCTAACCCTAAACCTTAACCCTAGCCCTAACCCTCTAACCCTAACCTTGGTGCATTCTGGGTGATTTTCTTGCGTAGGTTTCAGGACCCAACTAAGTAAGATTAGTGCTGGAAGGGGGGGGCTGTGCAGTGGAGGAGGACTGTGGGGTCCTGGGGGTGTGTGTGTCTCTGAGCTGGGTTGTTTTATTGTGGACGTTTCATGACCCAACTAGGGAACATCCTCAGTGCTACTTAATCTCAATCCCTTCCAGCACTGATGATGTTCCCTAGTTGGGTCATGAAACGTCCACAATAAAACAACCCAGCTCAGACAGCACCAGGGACCCCCACATTCTTCCTCTTTCTCCTTGTGCTCTCCTCCTCCTTCTTCTCCTCTTCCTCCATTTCTCCTCCTCCTCCTCCTCCTCCTCCTCCACTCTGCACACCTCTCTCCCTTCTAGCCCTGATGCTGTTCCCTAGTTGGGTCATGAAACGTCTGCAAGAAAACCACCCAGCTCAGAGCGCACCAGGGACCCCACGCTTCAACCCTGAGTTATAGGTATTCTCTTTTGTCAGGCAGAAACTGGCAGTGAGACCCAGGGGCTGCAGCCCACCCCCCACTCAGACATTCTCCAGAGAGCTCTGCTTCCTGCAGGAAAAGAGCAGACCAGCCCCCTCCCTCCCCGTTCACCACCCCGGGGAAGCTCGGCTGTCCCCCGAAAAACCCTAACCCTCCCCATCCTTCACGGGATGGGCCTGCGACCACTTGGCCAGCTCTTTCTCAAGACGGTGTCCTTCTCCCCTCTCGCTTCCCCACAAAGGGTGCCCTGTCCTCCGCCTTCGCCGGGAATCACGGGCAACACCCCCTCCCATCCCCCCAAACCCCACTTTCCCAAATTTTAAAGGATACAGGACGATGCCGGCCAGCAGCCAGTAGTCATGTCGGCGGTGCCAGATCTCGTTCAGCTTGCTGGAGGAGATGGCGGCTCGCTCCTCGTTCTGCCAAAGGGTGTGAAGTTCTGGCCAGAGAGAGCAGGAGAAAAATCACCACTGGGTCCGGTCTGAGAAACCAGCTATAAATCCTCAGTTTCTCCCCCGGAGGTTTCACATTCCCAACCGTCGGCGTTATTCCCCCCCCCCCCAAAAAAAAATCAGGACTGAATTTACCTGCTTTCTACAGGTAGTTTTTCCACTTACTGCCCCCACAATTTCTGCTGCTAAGCCAGACAGTTGCTAAAGGAGCTCTGCCCCCTAACCCTAACCCTTAACCCTAAAGCAGAGGCCCCCAGCCTTTTGGGCACCAGGGACCACCGGTTCCGTGGAGAGAGGTTTCTCCGCGGACCGGAGGAAAAATGGAGAAATGAAAAGAATTTATTAACCAGTGGAACAGCTTGTCTCCAGAAATTGTGGGCGCTCCATCACTGGAGATTTTTTAAGAAGAGATGAGACAATCATCTGTCTGAGATGGCATAGGTTCTCCTGCTTGAGCAGGGGGCTGGACTAGAAGACCTCCAAGGTCCTTTCCAGCTCCTATCCTATCCTATCCTATTCTGTAATTCTATTCTATCCCATATTTTCCCTTCTATTCTATTCCATATTTCCTACTCTATCCTATCCTATCCTATCCTATCTTACTCTACTCTATATTTCTATTCTATTCTGTAATTCTATTCTATTCTGTATTTCTATTCTATTCTATTCTTCTATTCTATTCTATTTTATTCTATTCTATTCTATTCTATTCTATTCTATTCTATTCTTCTATTCTATTCTGTATTTCTATTCTATTCTTCTATTCTATTCTATTCTATTCTATTCTATTCTATTCTATTCTGTATTTCTATTCTATTCTATTCTATTCTATTCTTCTATTCTATTCTATTCTATTCTGTATTTCTATTCTATTCTATTCTATTCTATTCTCTATTTCTATTCTATTCTATTCTATTCTATTCTATTCTATTCTGTATTTCTATTCTATTCTATTCTATTCTATTCTATTCTATTCTATTCTATTCTATTCTATTCTATTCTATTCTTATTGAGTGATTGATTTGTTAAATGTATCGGCCCCTCACCTCGCTGCGGAGCTGTGCTCTAGGGCTGCTTACAGCAATAAAAACAGGGAAATGAGAAGAACAAAGAATAAAAAAGGATGAAAAGTAGCCTAAATGTAACAAATAGCAAAGCGATGGAACAACAGAAGAAGCAAAAAAAGAAAAAAAAACCCAGATCTTTGCCACGGAGGCGCCCTCTTACCCGTGAAGCCCCCATCCGCGATGTTGAACATAAACCGTGGTTTCTCCATCCTCTCTTCCCTCTTCCCGTTATTCCGGTTCTCCTCTCTGAGATTGCCAGTTCTGGACTCTTTGGCCGTCTCCCGCTCCGATTTGACGTCTCCTTTGAAGGCAAGAAAAAAGGGGGGCTTTGGACCAGATCCGTTTTTCCACCCCTCCCTTCTCGCTTTTCGTCAGCAGGGATACCTGGCTGACAAGCCGCCAGGTCAAATGCTACTCAATTCGCACACGCCACAATCGGTATGTCTGTCTGGAGTGTGGACTGCATGGAATTCCCCCCCCCCACGCAGGAGCCAGCCAATGGCGAGAGGGGGGAAAGGCGGGCGGGCTAGCTGGCACGATCGGTTCTCTTGTCCTATCAAAAGAGCTTTTACTAACCCCCAGCCCAGTGTTGGGGTATCCCAGCAGCCAAGAGCAATCAAAGCCAAGGATCTAGAGCAACTTTGGCCACTTTAAGACTTGTGGACTTCAACTCCCAGAATTCCCCAGCCACCATGTTGAGTCTTGGCCACTTTAAGACTTGTGGACTTCAACTCCCAGAATTCCCCAGCCAGCAAGGGTTTCCCAGAATTCAGCATGGCCAGGACAAGAACAAAGGTGGCTAGACTGCTTTATTGCAATTTTGACTGGGTAACTTTTTTAACAGATCAGGGGTCTTCAAACTTGGCCCTTTTATGATGTGTGGACTTCAACTCCCAGAATTCCCCAGCCACCATGTTCAATCTCGGCCACTTTAAGACTTGTGGACTTCAACTCCCAGAATTCCCCAGCCAGCAAGGGTTTCCCAGAATTCAGCATGGCTAGGAGAACAATAAAAGGTGGCTAGACTACTTTATTGCAATTTTGACTGGGTAACTTTCTCAATAGACGGTGGGAACGCGGCGGACATAATATATCTTGACTTCGACAAAGTGTAAAAAAAAGAGCTGGCTGGGGAATGCTGGGAGTTGAAGTCCACAAGCCTTCAAAGTGGCCACGGATGGACATTTCTGACCTAGACAGCTGTTCTCACCACCTCTTTCCAGCCAGGATGCGAGGCGGCTCACCCTCAACTACTACGGCCCTTGGTGCAAATCCTGCCCCCGGCAGGAATTCCTGGCAAGCACACACCTGTCAATCCTGCTTCCCGCAGGCCCTTACCTTTCTTGGGATCCTGCGTTTCTCCCTCCATCTTTTCCTTGCTGTCATCGCTTTCCGTGGATTTTTCCTCGGCCACCAGCTTCTCCAAATCAGCATCTGGGAAGAGTGGAGGAATATGAGGGAAGGGAAACGGCTTTTGCAAAACGGGCATGGGTGATTTTTTCCATGTGCAAACACGGCCAGAGGCTTCAATGTCTGGTGTGTGTGTGTGTGTGTCCCCGGCTGTGTATTTTCTAACACCTTTTTATTATTTTAAAACGTTTACTTAAAATGTTTTTTTTTTTGTCTTGTTTGGTCTCTGTTTCACTAGTGGACGATCTCTTAAACAGGAGCCAGCCGTGTGCTGCAGCTGCCAAAAAGGCCAACACAGTGCTGGGCTGCATTAACAGAGGGATAGAATCAAGATCACGTGAAGGGTTAATACCACTTTACAAGGCCTTGGTAAGGCCACACTTAGGAATACGGCATCCAGTTTTGGTCACCACGATGTAAAAAAGATGCTGAGACTCTAGAAAGAGTGCAGAGAAGAGCAACAAAGATGATTAGGGGACTGGAGGCTAAAGCATATAAAGAACGGTTGCTGGAATTGGGAATGCCTAGTTTAATGAAGAGAAGGACGAGGGGGGACAGGATAGCGGTCTTCCAGTATCTCAGGGGCTGCCCCAAAGAAGAGGGAGTCAAGCTATTCTCCAAAGCACCTGAAGGCAGGACAAGAAGCAATGGATGGAGACTCATCAAGGAGAGAAGCAACCTAGAACTAAGGAGAAACTTCCTGACAGTGAGGACAATGAACCAGTGGAACCACCTGCCTCCAGAAGCGGTGAATGCTCCAACACTGGAAGTTTTTAAGAAGAGATTGGACAACCAATTTGTCTGAAATGGTATAGGGTTACCTGCCTGAGCAGGGGGTTGGACTAGATGACCTCCAAGGTCCCTTCCAACTTTTTTATTATTATTATTATTATTATTATTATTATTATTATTATTATTATTATTATTATTATTATTATTATTATTTTCTTTCTTTCTTTCTTTCTTTCTTTCTTTCTTTCTTTCTTTCTTTCTTTCTTTCTTTCTTTCTTTCTCTTTTGGGTTTTGCACTTTCAATCTTCCGGATAAAATAAAAATGGCAACAACAACAAAAAAAGAAAAATTAAAAAGAAAAGCTGAAACACGACCTGTCAACGCTGCTAACGTCGGATGTTCTTGCTTTGACAACCTTCTTATGTTTTACTCTTAGAATTAGAGTTAGAATTAGAGGATACTGGGGGGGGGGGAGGAGGAGGAGGAACGTGCCTGGGAGTTTAGCTAGACATAACAATACTATAACTAGGGTGAGAACCAAGGTCTTTTGAAATAAGAGACGATAAGGATTGGCGGGCTGGAGAACTGGAGGGGAAGCCTGCATTTCAAGCTAGTTGGAGAATGTGATTTATGACTGTGCTCAGGGGAGGGGAATTCAGATTTTGGCTTCGCCTATATGCGTGCCGATGCTCTGCTACTCGAATAAAGATTCTCTAAGGTAGACAATGCCTCTTCTTTTGAAGAGTTTCATCTGTCGGAACCAGGACACGACAAGACCCGTGATCAATCCTCACCCAATTTCTCCTTTTCTTCCTTGACCGTCGCTTCGGCTTCGGCCTCCTTCTCCCTGACCCCCGTCGGGCCCTCGTCCTGCGTCTTTTTCGAAGACTCCGGCTCCATTTTATCCCCTGCGAAGGTGGCAGAAAGGGGCTGTTCGGGCGCGGGCGGCTGGGAAAATGCAAGGCAGAGGAACTCAAAGGCAGCTCCCGTCAGGGAGAGACCCCCTCACCCAGGTAGGCAGGTCCTGCGCAGGGGCAGAAGAAGAGCCCAGGGGCAATTATTATTATTATTATTATTTTCCCCCCGCTGCCCTTGGAGCCTCCACACCGCCTCCGATTCGGTCGCACGAAGAACGGCGGCGGGAATTGGGTTTGTCCAGTCTAGGGAAAGTCGAGCACAAACCTCGGTCTCCATTTTCTCGCCGCCCTTGGCTTCCTTCTCCAACTTCTCCTCCCGGGTCTCCAGATCCTCCTTGTCGGCCGAGAGGACCCCGTCTCCTTTGTCGCTGGGGGCCGGAGTAGCTGAAGGAACATTAACAGAGGGATAGAATCAAGATCACGTGAAGTATTAATACCACTTTACAAGGCCTTGGTAAGGCCAGACTTGGAATACTGCATCCAGTTTTGGTCACCACGATGTAAAAAAGATGCAGAGACTCTAGAAAGAGTACAGAGAAGAGCAACAAAGATTAGTAGAGGTCTGGAGGCTAAAACATACAAGGAACGGTTGCTGGAATTGGGGATATCTAGTCTAATGAAGAGAAGGATGAGGAGGGGCATGATAGCAGCTTTCCAATATCTCAGGGGCTGCCCCAAAGAAGAGGGAGTCAAGCCATTCTCCAAGGCGCCTGAAGGCAGGACAAGAAGCAACAGATGGAAACGAATCAAGGAGAGAAGCAACCTAGAACTAAGGAGAAACTTCCTGAGAGTGAGAACAATTAACCAGTGGAACCACCTGCCTCCAGAAGCGGTGAATGCTTCAACACCGGAAGTTTTTAAGAAGAGACTGGACAGCCATTTGTCCGAAATGATATAGGGTTTCCTGCCTGAGCAGGGGGTTGGACTAGATCAGTGGTTCTCAACCTGTGGGTCGGGACCCCATTTGGGGTCGATCGACCATTTCATGGGGGTCGCCAAGCAAGGCTGTCCGCCATTTTTTTTGTCTGCCATTTTTTCCCCCTTTTCCGGCGGGTGCCTTACCTCCCTTGGGCTGGGCCAGCTGGTGGTCGGCCTGCTCCCTCTCTGCCGCTTGCCAGCTACGCCTCGGCCGGCGCAGGGGGTGGAACCACGCATGTGCGGCGCTCCTGGGCAGGGAAAGTCCTCGACCTACGACCGGTTGGGTAGTCCTCGACTTATGACTGGTTTAGTCCTCGACTTATGACCGGTTTAGTCCTCAACTTACGATCGGTTGGGGTCGCGGCATTAAAAAGGTTGAGAACCACTGGACTAGATGATCTCCCAGGTCCCTTCTGAGTCTGTTATTCTTTTTTTCCTTCCTTCCTTCCTTCCTTCCTTCCTTCCTTCCTTCCTTCCTTCCTTCCTCCTTCCCTCCCTCCCTTCTCCAACACTGGAAGTTTTTAAGAAGAGACTGGACTGCCATTTTTCTGAAATGGTCTAGGGTTTCCTGCCTGAGCAGGGGGTTGGACTAGATGACCTCCAAGGTCCCTTCCAACTTTATTATTATTATTATGGATCATCGCACAGTCAGCCAGATGTTCAGACTGGACTTGGCATTTTGTCTACCTATGAGTATTATTACTATTATTACTATTATTACTATTATTACTATTATTATTATTATTATTATTATTATTATTATTATTATTATTATTATTATTATTATTATTAAATTTGATCTGTCATCCCGACGCACAACCATCTGGGAATGGAAGAAGAACTCCAAGACGAAGGCAAATGAATACATCTGTCCCAGGGTAACGTCGTACGATCCAACCTGGGTCGGTCCCCTGGCTTCTATTTATGACCGATGCTGCATTCCCAAGGTCATCTCATCCCCTTTGGTGACCTTAAGTCAATGGGGGAAGCCATAGTTCCTTCACAACCCCGTAACTCACTTAGCGGCCGCTGCGATTCCCGTAACTGCCGCCGCGGTGGTAAGAAAGGGCGTAAAACAGGGCAAAAGCCACTTGTCTCACTTAGCAACCAGCTCAGTTCTGGTCATTAAGCCGGGGACGACGGCCCCCTTAGTGAATTTGCGGCTTCGCTTAATTAAGGATCCAGCCTGAAACACACACACCCTGGCCTAATTCTAATTTCTTCGCACGGGGGTGGGCTCATTTACAGTAGTGGCCCAAATTGTGGAAACCTTTTGGGAAAAAGTGTATTTTTGAGGTTTGATGGCTAATAATACCACTTTTTTTGGGAGTAGTATCACAAAATTATATATTACTGGAAAGATAGTTTAATCAAGAACGCAATGCAACCATGTTTGTTCAAATATCTGTACTGTATTCTATGAAATAGACAAATAACCAGAAAAAGGAAGCACAACTTGCTCAGGTTGATATCAAGTAGCTTTCCTCCATCTGATTGTAGCCAATGAGCATGAGTGTTTAGAGAGCCAATCAGGTGTCATTTTGTTTTGCCCATGAGCCAACCAGATCACAATAGGATCCAGTTATTGATGTCATGTATTGAAGCTGAGAGGAGGAGATTTGTCAGTGTGTGATGTGATCGCTATCAAGTTGGTTGGGTTTTTTTGTGTGTGTGTTCTTTCACTGAGTGAGCTTGTAAAACGTCATAAAATTAAATTAACATTGCAAAGAATCGACTGGTCACCCAGAAAACCATGTAAAATAGTATTTATTAAATGAACATGGCTGCAGTTATAAAGAAATTAGAAGAAAAAATGGGTGGAAACTTAAACCAAAGGTGGCATTTCTACTGTACACTTTTTCCCAAAAGGTTTCCACCATTTTGGCCACTGCTGCAGAGCAATTTACTCCAGTGTACTAGGCAACAGGGACTAGCCTCTTGAAAAGGCGGCGGTGAAATCCCGAACGGAAATTCTCAAGAGGAATTCGGTGTTGTCCGTTTCGCCCGCCTTCCACGGGGCTCGGGTGGTGGATTCCGACGCCGTTAGGGGAAGGGGTTCGGGGTTTGGGTCCCCCCACCCCTCCCCTTGCGACCGATCCCGGCTCCATCTCGGCTGGGCGCGTACCTGGCTTGGAGGTGCAAGGCGTATTGGTGCAGCTGGGGTCCGGGGTGGTGGTGGAGGTCTTGACGGTGGGGGACGAGGCCCGGGAGGACTTCTTGGAGTCAGCGCTGGGATCCGGCATCAGCTCGGGCATGCTCCAGCGGCCGTTGATGTGTTCAAACTCTTGCACCTATCACGCAAAAGCACACACACACACACACACACACCCATGGCCCCCGTGAGCAATTTTACAAAAATGAAACCCTTCCATAGAAGCAGAGAAGTGTCTAGCCTGGCAAATTCTTGGCTGGAATTTTATAGAACATACAAAAACAAGAGATATTCTGGTGCAACGGTTGAAAGTGCTGGCCTAGAAACTAGGAGACGGTGAGTTCTAGTCCCGCCTTAAGCAAGAAAGCCAGCTGGGTAATTTTGGGCCCATCACCAGGAGACGGTGAATTCTAGTTCCACTTTAGCCATGAAAGCCAGATAGGTGAGTTTGGGCCAGTTCCCAGGAGATGGTGAGTTCTAGTCCCGCCTTAAGCACGAAAGCCGGCTGGGTAACTTAAAGCCAGTCACCAGGAGACAGTGAATTCTAGTTCCATTTTAGTCATGAAAGCCAGATAGGTGAGTTTGGGCCAGTTACCAGAAGTGAGTTCTAGTACTGCCTTAAGCATGAAAGCCAGCTGGGTACTTTAAAGCCAGTCACCAGGAGAGGGTGAATTCTAGTTCCACTTTAGCCATGAAAGAGAGATAGGTGAGTTTGGGTCAGTTACCAGGAGACGGTGAGTTCTAGTCCCGCCTTAACCGTGAAAGGCAGCTGGGTACTTTAAAGCCAGTCACCAGGGGACGGTGAATTCTAGTTCCACTTTAGCCATGAAAGCCAGATAGTTTGGGCCAGTTGAGTTTGGGCCAGTTCCCAGGAGACGGTGAGTTCTAGTCCCGCCTTAAGCATGAAAGCCAGCTGGGTAACTTAAAGCCAGTCACCAGGAGACAGTGAATTCTAGTTCCACTTTACCCATGAAAGAGAGATAGGTGAGTTTGGGCCAGTTCCCAGGAGACGGTGAGTTCTAGTACCGCCTTAAGCATGAAAGCCAGCTGGGTACTTTAAAGCCAGTCACCAGGAGACGGTGAATTCTAGTTCCACTTTAGCCATGAAAGAGAGATAGGTGAGTATGGGCCAGTTACTAGGAGATGGTGAGTTCTAGTCCTGCCTTAACTGTGAAAGGCAGCTGGGTACTTTAAAGCCAGTCACCACAAGCAGGGGTCTTCCAACTTGGCCCTTTGATGACTTGTGGACTTCAACTCCCAGAATTCCTCAGCCAGGCAGTGCCTGGCTGGGGAATTCTGGGAGTTGAAGTCCACAAGTCATCAAAGGGCCAGGTTGGAAGACCCCTGGTTTAAACCAACATGTCCTCCTTTTTCCCTTGGAGAAGGAAGCCCTGCTCACACCAGTGCCGAGTACTTGGAAGGGCAGTGGATGATGGGTGCTTCCTCCTGACCCATCCGCCTTTGCTGCCCCACAGCGCCGTACCTTTTTTTTCACCAGAGACATGACTCCTATCCGTGTCAGGACTTGCTGTCGGGAGAGACCCTCCCTCGGCACCCCGTCGGCAAAGGTCTCTGAGCCGTCCGCCCCGGGTTCGCACAGGTGCCTCATGAAGAGAGAAACGTAGGCCCTGGAGAAGACATGAAGACCCAACATCCATCTGTACCCATTTATAGAGGAAATTGGACCAGCTCTTTACAACGTTGTTTAGTTGGCAAAGATGTTGAGCAGGGGTCTTCCAACTTGGCCCTTTGAATGAATTGTGGACTTCAACTCCCAGAATTCCTCAGCCAGCGTGAGGGAACTATGACCCTTTGATGACTCGTGGACTTCAACTCCCAGAATTCCTTAGCCAGCGTGAGGGAACTATGACCCTTTGATGACTCGCGGACTTCAACTCTCAGAATTCCTCAGCCAGCGTGAGGGAACTATGACCCTTTGATGACTTGCGGACTTCAACTCCCAGAATTCCTCAGCCAGCGTGAGGGAACTAGGACCCCTTTATGACTTGCGGACTTCAACTCCCAGAATTCCTCAGCCAGCGTGAGGGAACTAGGACCCCTTTATGACTTGCGGACTTCAACTCCCAGAATTCCTCAGCCAGCGTGAGGGAACTATGACCCTTTGATGACTTGTGGACTTCAACTCCCAGAATTCCTCAGCCAGCGTGAGGGAACTAGGACCCTTTGATGACTGGTGGACTTCAACTCCCAGAATTCCTCAGCCAGCGTGAGGGAATTATGACCCCTTTATGACTTGTGGACTTCAACTCCCAGAATTCCTCAGCCAGCGTGAGGGAATTATGACCCTTTGATGACTTGGGGACTTCAACTCCCAGAATCCCTCAGCCAGGCCTGCTGGCTGAGGAATTCTGGGAGTTGAAGTCCACAAGCAGGGGTCTTCAAACTTGGCCCTTTCATGACTTGTGGACCTGAAGGCCGTCAAGGTACCCTGGTTTAAAAAAAAAAAAATGTGTGAGGAAAATTAAGGGAAAGAGGATGCGATTGTGGGTGATCATGATTCCCTCCAGTCCAAGGAAAAACTGTCAAACCACAAATCTTTGGATTACAGGAGTTTGATAGGTTGAATTGCAGGAATGTTCTAGAGCAACAGGTAACTCCCAACAGCCCCAGAACATAAATGGGGGGGATGGGGAGGAGGAAGCTTGTAGGACAGTGTTTGTCAATCTTGCCAATTTTAAAGGGTGTGGACTTCAAATCCCAGAATTCCCCAGCCGGCATCATGGCAACTGTAAGCTACCTGGAGAATGCTGGCTGGCTGGGGAATTCTGAGAGTTGAAGTCCACCCATCTTAAAGTGGCCACAACGGCTGGGGAATTCTGGGAGTTGAAGTCCACCCATCCTACGATTGCCAGAATGGCTGGGGAATTCTGGGAGTGGAAGTCCACCCATCTTAAAGTGGCCACAATGGCTGGGGAATTCTGGGAGTTGAAGTCCACCCATCCTACGATTGCCACAATGGCTGGGGAATTCTGGGAGTTGAAGTCCACCCATCCTATAGTCGCCACAATGGCTGGGGAATTCTGGGAGTGGAAGTCCACCCATCTTAAGGTTGCCACAATGGCTGGGGAATTCTGGGAGTGGAAGTCCACCCATCCTCCAGTCACCACAATGGCTGGGGAATTCTGGGAGTTGAAGTCCACCCAACTTAAGGTTGCCACAATGGCTGGGGAATTCTGGGAGTTGAAGTCCACCCATCCTCCAGTCACCACAATGGCTGGGGAATTCTGGGAGTGGAAGTCCCCCCCATCCTACAGCTGCCAAGGCCGAGAGAGCGTGTCCTAGGAGCAGGGAGTGGAGACCGTCCTACGTAGGGACGCCTAGAACAAGCACTCGACCCGTTTGCCATCAGATTCTCTTCATGCATCGTCATCCCGGGCGCAGCGGGACCTGTAGCTGTGGGCCAGCTTGGCAGAAGTCACGCCTTAGACTCGCCAATGCGCCTGGCCACAGCCTCGCCTCGCTCTGTGTCTGCTTGAGGGAGAGGCGGTCATCCCTTCACGCCGCTCTCCAGGAAAACACAGACAGAAGCGTGCTTGGAGAGGATGTCAGATGAGTAAGAACCATCATCATTTGGCAAACAAGGCGCCTGCTTTGCTCTCGTTTGGTCTAGAAAGCCGGAGACTGGGAGTTCTAGTCCCGCCTTAGCCACGAAAGCCGGCGGGGTGGCTTTGGGCCAACGCTTCTGACACGAAGACCAGGAGACTGGGAATTCTAGTCCGCCTTAGCCATTAAAACCATCTGGGTGACTTTGGGCCAACGCTTCTGACACAAAGACCAGGAGACTGGGAATTCTAGTCCTATCTTAGCCATGAAAGCCGGCTGGGTGGCTTTGGGCCAACGCTTCTGAGTCGAAGACCAGGAGACTGGGAATTCTAGTCCCGCCTTAGCCATGAAAGCCGGCTGGGTGACTTTGGGCCAACGCTTCTGACACGAAGACCCGGAAACTGGGAGTTCTAGTCCTGCCTTAGCCATGAAAGCCGGCTGGGTGACTTTGGGCCAATGTTTCTGACACGAAGACCAGGAGACTGGGAATTCTAGTCCCGACTTAGCCATGAAAGCCGGCTGGGTGGCTTTGGGCCAACGCTCCTGACATGAAGACTAGGAGACTGGGAATTCTAGTCCTACCTTAGCCATTAAAACCATCTGGGTGACTTTGGGCCAACGCTTCTGAGTCGAAGACCAGGAGACTGGGAATTCTAGTCCCACCTTAGCCATTAAAGCCACCTGGGTGACTTTGGGCCAACGCTTCTGACACAAAGACCAGGAGACTGGGAATTCTAGTCCCGCCTTAGCCATTAAAGCCGACTGGGTGACTTTGGGCCAACGCTTCTGAGTCGAAGACCAGGAGACTGGAAGTTCTAGTCCCACCTTAGCCATTAAAACCATCTGGATGGCTTTGGGCCAACACTCCTGACACGAAGACAGGAGACTGGGAATTCTAGTCCCCCCTTAGCCATTAAAGTCGGCTGGGTGGCTTTGGGCCAACGCTTCTGACTCAAAGACCAGGAGACTGGGAATTCTAGTCCTATCTTAGCCACGAATGCCTGCTGGACAAATTTTTTGGGCCAATTACCAGGAGAGACTTAATTTTAATCCCTGCTTTAGCCGTGAAAGCCAGCCGAGAGACTATTTAGTGGGGTTCCCAAGACCCCACCCACGAACACCGACAGGGCAAGACACTTGTAGATGAACTCCCTTCTGGCACTGATGACGTTCCCTAGTTGGGTCATCCAACGTCTGCAAGGAGACGACCCAGCTCAGAGACCTCCAAGGACCCCATAGTCTTCCTCCTCCTCCTCTCTGCAAACCCTCCCTTCTAGCACTGATGATGTTCCCTAGTTGGGTGATGAAACATCTGCAAGAAAAGAACCAAGCTCAGAGACCACCAAGGACCCCACAGTCCTCCTCCTCTTCTCCACAACCCCCTCTTTCTTCTAGCACTGATGACGTTCCCTAGTTGGGTCATGAAACGTCTGCAAGAAGACCACCCAGCTCAGAGCGCACCAAGGACACCCACCCCCCCAGTCCTCCTCCTTTCTGCAAACCTCATTCTCTTCTAGCACTGGTGATGTTACTTTGTTGGGTCGTGAGATGTCTGCAAGAACCTCCCCCCCCCCAAAAAAAGAGCAGCAAAGTTCCTGCAGAGAGGGAAGGGCCAAATGTAGGAAGGAAAGGCAAGGGCTGGGATTGGAAGGAGGGGAGGCTGCGGATTCATTGCTGCTCGGATTGTCACGGATTGTCTGTTGTGTACGTTTGGGGGGGGGGCTTTCTTGCAGACGTTTCATCACCTGACAAAGTAACCTCATCAGTGCTAGAAGATCATGGGGTTTGCAGAAAGGAGGAGGAGGACTCTGTGTGTGTGTGTGTGTGTGTGTGTCCTTGGTGCTCTCTGAGCTTGGTTGTTTTTTTTTGCTTACTACTGGAGTAGCCCAGGCAGCCACAGGGGGCTAAGCCAATTCCCCAGAGACCACCGAAGGAGCAAACAAGGGCTTTGGGCAGGGAGACCACCAGCTTTTTTTTCAATCTGTCCTTGGTTGCTCGTGTTATTTTCAGGGGAATCCGACACACAAACACACACACACACCCCTGCCGCAAGCGCCCTCTTCAAAAGGAAGATGGAGCAGCCAGAGGCAAAAAATCTGTCGTTATCAAGGAAGACGGGGCGCGCTTGAATCAGAAACAGGAAGCCCCTGCGGAGCGACAACCCGAGGATCCTCTTTAGAAGAAAAGCCAAGTGGAAAAGGGGGGGGGAGAAACACAGACGTCCAGCCTGTCAATCACAGCTCATGCAGCTTCATAGATAGATAGATAGATAGATAGATAGATAGATAGATAGATAGATAGATAGATAGATAGATAGATAGATAGATAGATAGATAGATAGATAGATAGATAGATAGATAGATAGATAGATAGATAGATAGATAGATAGATAGATAGATAGATAGATAGATAGATAGATAGATAGATAGATAGATAGATAGATAGATAG